GGGAAAAAAGAGGGTCCAAGTTGGTATTTGCAAAGTGTGCCTAACAAAGTTGTATGGTGAGTGTAAATGGAGATCTTTGCTCCAGTCATTTAACTAAAAGAAAAAAACATTTTCTTAATGACTTACCATGTGTTGGTTTTAAAATGGCCCAAAAATCTTCTTCAGTGCTTAAAAACAAACATCACATAAGTCATTCCATAACTTTACCTGTGAATGAAACATTCAGTCAAATGTATTTCACCATTTGCATTTTTTTTTTATTTCAAGACAGCATATTTATGTATTGATGGATTAAAACACCTGGTATTTGAGCTGAAACATTACATAATGGGTAATCCACTGACAATTTTCTTTTACTCATTAGCTTCAAATGTAATTCCATGTCCCCAGACCTTCAACTTATTATTTTTACTGCTTTAATTACTTCTGTGAGACTAGAAGAATATCACAGGCACAATGTTTAGATTTCAATACTGAAATTAAGTTTGGGATATTAAAAGAGCTCAATCATACTATCTCTGAACATGAAACCTGATTATTCTTAAGTCAAAAAGATGAAAAGGTATCAGCCAACACTGTCTGACAGGCAGCAAGCTACACTCATTCTTCTGGTGAGGCAGAAAGTTTTTCTATTTTTGCGGCAAACCGCTTTCGACTTGAATCGAGGATGTTGATGCCATTCTTCTGGAAGTCATAGCCCACCCTTCTCAGTTCCTCTAGTCGCCCTGTAATGTTTTGTGTGCTGTAGTCCAAAACTTTGGGCTTTTCCAGTATCTGCTTCATTGTTATTCCTCCTTTTAAAAGACAGTCTAGTTTAGAGCTCAGAGTGTCAGGCCCAATGTAGAGAATCATCGGATAGTTGATGATCAGTTTTTTAACATCAGCTTTCCGACAGCCAAGTACGGTCATCTTCTGCTCCAGGCTGTTGAAATTCTTTTTCAGGTACTCGTTGGAAAGGTCCAGAATTTCTGCCCCGTGGCCTTGAAGAAGAGCCAGCAGTTCTGAATCACTCAACTTAAGTGATGCTTTCAGGTTGTCGATGTTTGTCTTGACTCTCTTAGTGCTTCTGATTAGAATGTAAAGATTTCTTGTAATGACCATTTTTGCAAACTGCTCTGGGTTACTTCCACCGAGCTCTGTGCAGATATCTTCCAGAAACTCCACCATTTGCTTGTTGAGCTCTAAGCTGTTGGAGAATGTCCGCGGTGCTGTGGTCAGCAGCCGGTGGAGGTCTTTGGCATTTAGTCCCAGTGAGACCAGATAATTGATGTTCTTTTCCAAGTTGTCGTTATCACTGGAGCGGAAAAACGACTCAGGTGAGCGATCCAGGATGCTTATGATTTCTGCGTCTGTCTGGAAGATGTTTCTCCACAGCTGCCAGCGTTGTTCCAAGTGTTCAATGGAGCGAGTGATGGCTCGGGGATAACGGGATATTATGCCAGCAATGACTTTGCGGCTGGCACCTTTTCCTTGCAGGAACTGAGCGAGGCCGTGCTCATTAGTGAAG